TCAAGCTCGGTTCGTTTATCGTTATTTTAGTTATGTAATAAATATATTATTTATATATTAAATAATAGTATTAATACATTATTTATATATTAAATAATATTTTAAAAAAAACTATCGAGCCGAGCCGAGATCGAGTTTTATTAATATTAACGAGCCAAGCCGAGCCGAGCTCGAACACAGTTTTTTATTGAGCCTAGTTTCTTATTGAGTCGAGCTTGAGCTCAATAAACAAACTCGATAAGTAAACGAGCCAAATTCAAGCTCAACAAAACTCGACTCGGTTTGTTTCGTTTACAGCTCTAGGTGGGATGGAAGCCAAAACCCAAGAAAGGAAAGCAAAAGATAGAATAGAAAAAGAAACTCAAGTAACAGAAGAATTGACAACCCCAATATGCTGCCTATCTTGCCATAAAAATCGGCCCAACTCTGCTGGACCACTCCACAACAATTGATTAATGTGTCCCGACCGCAACACCTCTTTTGCTAACTCATCCACACAGACATTCACATCACAAGGAACATGGTAGACCTCACAACACTAATCCTGATTCAAAAGCTTCCGAATCTGCTCCTGAGGGTGTTGCCTATCCACTTCGCTAATCAATGTAACAATTTCAAAGGTTCTCTAATTTATGCATATTGTGGGGATATATTTTTTGAGTACCAACACGTGGCTAAGGTGACGCCGATGTGTCAGCCAAGGTGCCACGTGTCCTGGTCATGACGCCGAGGTTATCTCGGCGAAGCCGAGGTTATCTCTGAAGATATCAGAATCCGAGATAAGCGGATAAGGCACAAGAGTCCTAGAAAAGGGGAAGACTACAGTTGGAAAAGGATAAGACTCTTTGGGAGTTTATCCTAATCCTATTAGGAGTCCAAGATTGATAGTAATCCTAAGTCCATTAGAGCTAGGCTCCTGTTGGGACAAGGATTGAGTTAGCTATAAAAGGGAGGCACCCCCGTGGGTCTAAGGTACGCAATTTCATATTCTGAACAGTGAGATTTGCACTATTGATTATCTTTGAGAGATATACTGACTTGATCGTCGGAGTGCCCCCGGGTGGACGAACCGCCGCCGAAATCTTCTCTTTCTGTTGCAGGTTAGCCAAGTGTCATTTATTCTGCCAGTGTTCTCCAGCTGAATACTGAGTTGGGCGGTGTGATCGGAAAATCACTCACACACATATGTAACTTAAAGAAAGAGAAAGAGACATGCCTCACTCAAATATTATTACCTCTAATTTAGTAGGGAGGAAGCCAATACTCTCTGTTTCAACCAACTCTAGTACATCTCAATCCTCTAGATATTATATATATATGTATATTGAGCATAACGATTAAAACATAAAAAAATTTAGGTGTTTTGAGAAGGTAAAAAGTTGATTTTTTAGCTTTTTGAACTTTTTTGGTGATTTTTTTGATGAAAAAGCTGACTTTTTTGATGACTTTTTTTAGGAGAACTTGGTAAAAAGTCAAAAAATTGGCTTTTTACCACGTTCCCAATTTGCTCTTTGACTCAGTAAAAGGGGAGAATTACATGAAGGTGAGAATTGGGAAAAAAAAAAATTAGGATAAATTATACTGACTCCCTCTGAGGTTTATATTTATTACACTTTCCTCCCTCACCTTTTGGAAATTACATCTCTCCCCTTGAGGTTTAAAGTTGCATTACAGATTCCCCCTTCAGCAATTTGATTTTTTTAAATACCAATTTTGCCTTCATTGGGTAAATTACATTGACACTCCTCACATTTTAGAAATTACAATCCCCTCCCCAAGGTTTAAAGTAGCATTACCAATTGCCCCCTCGATTAGTATTAGTTGGAAAAAGAAATTCATTGAAAAAAAAATTAATTAGAAAACAAATTATTTGAAAAAAAAATTTGTTAGTAAAATTTTTAAATTTTTGTTTAAAAATCAACATAAACTTATTTTTTGAATTTACGTTTTTTCCTCAAATTTACAAACTGAGACAACCACTTATAAACTAAAAAAATTATCAAACAAGTTTTTATGACAGGTTTTAAAATTTTTGTAAATATAAATTGAAAACTGAAAATGAAATGGTTACCAAACATGCCTCAGATGGTAAAAATGTCGTAAAATTAACAAACAATTAAATAAGTTACCAGCGTAAGAAATGACTTATCAAAAGATTCTTAGGTTATGTATGGTTTGATTTTTAGAATTTTTTTAAAAAAAATTAAAAATTAATTTGGTTGAGAAATAAAAAATAAGAAATAATTATCATTTAAGGGTAAAAAATAATTATCATTTTAACATTTTAACTATTGGGTAGGTTATATACATACGTATGGCTGTTTCAATTTAATTTGTTAAAAACCACTTGAAAGATAAAAATTATATAAAAATGATAATTATTTTTTATTTTTTTATTTCTTAACCAAATTAATTTTTAATTTTTTAAAAAAAATTCTAAAAATCAAACCATGCATAGCCTAAGAATTTTTTGATCAGTCATTTCTTACGTTGGTAACTTATTTAATTATTTGTTAATTGTACGACATTTTTACCACCTGAAACCTGTTTGGTAACCATTTCGTTTTCAGTTTTTAATTTAAATTTACCAAAAAAAATTTAAAATGTCATAAAAACTCGTTTGATAATTTTTTTGGTTTATAAATTGTTGTCTCAGTTTGTAAATTTGAGAAAAAAACGTAAATTCAAAAAATGAGTTTACGTTAGTTTTTAAATAGAAATTTAAAAATTTTACTAACAAATTTTTTTTCAATAAATTTTTTTTTTCAATTAATTTTTTTTCCAATTAATTTTTTTTCCAACTAATACTAACCGAGGAAACAATTGGTAATGATACTTTAAACCTTAAGGAGGGAATTGTAATTTCTAAAATGTGAGGGGTGTCAATGTAATTTACTTAGTGAGAGCAAAATTGGTATTACAAAAATTAAATTACTGAGGGGGAATCTGTAATTAAACTTTAAACCTCAGGGGGGAGATGTAATTTTCAAAAGGTAAAAGGAGAACTATAATAAACATAAATCTCAGGGGATGTCAGTGTAGTTTACCCAAAAAATTACAAATACATGAGGGGTGTAAATGAAATGAACCTATCCATGTGTTGGTATTTTTTTTTTTTTTTCAACTTCTGCTTGCATGTAGTTTTCCCTAATAAAAATAGTTAAATGGTTTAAATTGAAAACAAATCAAAAAATTTAAATTTAAATTGATAAAATTTAAAAAATAAAATTTATTTTATTACAAAAATCAAACTCATATTTTTTTTAAATAATTTTCTCTATTTTTTTTTTTGGTTCAAAAAAAAAGTGGATGTTTAGGAAGTTACTATTTTAGTTTTTGACTATTTATAGTAGGTTAAAAAATTTATTTTTGAAAAGATGATTAGATTTTTTTGTACTTAAATGTGATGTTTGTGAGAGAAAAAGTAAAATAATTATAAGTTTAATATGATATTTTATCTTATTGATTATTTTAACTTATTTTATTTTATTTTATTTATTTATTTGGTGTAGATTTTAGCCTAAAATTTCACTTTCCAAACATCACCAAAAACAAAAACGAACCAAAAACTTGTTTCCTGTGAGCTGCAAGTGGGTTAAATTTGGGTGGAGACTTAAAAAATATATATATAAAAGGACAAAATAAGTTAATTAAGTTAATAAGATTAAATATTATATTTAAATTATAATTAGTTAATAAGATCAAATATTATATTTAAATTATAATTATTTATTTTATTTTATTTTATTTTTTCTCTTATAAAAAAATTTAAAAATAAATTTTTTTTTTCTAAACACAGTAATCATGCTAAAAAAATTCTCCCAAAGGAACCATCAATTGGAAACAGAAACCAGTTTTGTTTGTTTTCTTGGTGCCTCCGCCTCGTTAGGCAGGAATCTTCCGCCACGTACGCGTAATAATTGACGACTATTTGAATCGCCGTTTGTTTAACTTCCAGTAAACCCCGCCTTCCGCGCTGAGTTCACACCAAGCTTACCTGGTCAATGGGTCCACTTTCACGCCGTCAACACCCCATTCGAAAACTTTATAATTCTGTTTAGTACAGTTTATTATACATTAAAAATTTATACTCCTTCTATTTTAAAATAATGATTTTTTTGAGAAATTTAATTTTTTTTAATAATATAATTATTGCATTTTTAAAAAATTATCACTTGAGAGTACATTTTTTGGAGAATACTAATGTAATAATTGTATTTTTAAGTTGTTAATAAATTTAAAAGAATGACAAAATAAGAAATTTATATTATTTCATACTTAATTTTTTTAAAAAAACTAATATTTTAAAATAATAAAAAATAAAATAAAAGATTAATATTTTAAGACGGAGGAAGTGATATAAGAGTAAAAATTAAAACAAGGTTTTCCTCAACTTTTGAAAATTAATTTTTTTAATTTATTTAAAATGTTTAATAAGTTATAAATGAGAGTTGTAACAAATAGTTGATACATACTTTTAGAATAAAACAAATAAATTAAAAACAATTTAAATAAATGAATAATGTTATATACATTAATTAATGTATTAATGGATGATGTTATATAATTTTAGAGATTTTAAATTTTTGTAATAAGTAGGGTTATAATTTTAAAAAAACAATGTCACAACTATACTGATACATTAATTAATATATCAATTGATATCACTATAAATAAAAGAAAAATGGTTTGGAGCACTAAGAGGAATACTAATGATGTGGCAGTGAGTCCCGCCCATTTTCTATGCCTTGTCTTTTTTTTTTTTGCTATTCTCAATACATTAATATTATTAATAATGTATTTTGTAGTGGTTTAAATCATTGTTGTAAATAAAATTACACCAAACAAAGCCAAATATCAACGCCGTTAATATAATCGCTCGCCGTCCGACGATTAGCAAACACGCCATATCCCTCTCCTTCGCCGTTAATTCCATCATCATCGTCACATCACGCGTGTTCAAAAACACTCTTTTCAACATCTTTAAAACGCATCCCATCTTCTCTCTCTCTATATCAAACCCTCTCTCTCTCTCTCTAATCTACATATCTTCACCGTCGATTCTGCATAATTTCCGGTGAGTTGTGTCTATTTGTTTGAGAAATCTCAGATTCAACAAGGTCGCTTGAAGATGCCTCCGACGGCTTCGTATTGGTGTTACAGGTGCTCTCAATTCGTTAGGGTTTCGGCCGACGACGACAACGTCGTTTGTCCCTATTGCGATGGTGGATTCGTCGAGTCGATGGACGCTGCTCCGGCACCTGAATCTCGCCGCAGTTTCCCTCCGGCGGCGATGTACGTGTTCTCCAACAACTCCCATCGGAACTCGAATTTAGGGTTCCGCCGTCCGCGACGGAGCCACCGCGATCGCTCGGCCTTCAATCCGGTCATCGTGTTGCGCGGACCGGCCGATGACGGCAGCGATGGCGGTGAAACGCGCGTCTTCGAGTTGTACTACGACGACGGTGCCGGTTCTGGCCTCCGACCTCTCCCGGCGACCATGTCTGAGTTTTTGATGGGGTCAGGGTTCGATCGATTGCTTGATCAATTGACTCAGATCGAAATCAACGGTTTGGGCCGCCGCGAACAGGCTCCGGCGTCAAAATCCGCCGTTGAATCGATGCCGACGATCGAAATCGTAGCCGGACACGTCAGCTCCGAATCGCACTGCGCCGTCTGTAAAGAAGCTTTCGTTCTCGGATCTGAAGCTCGTGAAATGCCTTGTAAACACATATACCACTCGGATTGCATACTCCCTTGGCTCTCTCTCCGTAATTCATGCCCTGTTTGCCGCCACGAACTCCCCTCCGACGCGTCCGAGCTCGAAAATGAAGGCCCCTCACGAGCACCAACCGAAGAAGAGGCGGTTGGGCTCACAATTTGGAGACTACCTGGTGGTGGATTTGCGGTGGGTAGGTTTTCAGGGGGAAGAAGAGCAGGTGAGAGAAACATTCCAGCTGTGTATACAGAAATGGATGGTGGATTCAATAATAGTGGTGGTGGTTCGAGGAGGATTGTGTGGGGGTCGAGGAGAGGCAGATCGAGAGAGGGCACTGGTGGTGGTGGGTTGGGTAGGGCTTTTCGCAATCTGTTCTCGTTTTTTGGGAGGCTGAGGTCGTCTTCTTCTTCTCATTCATCATCACATTCTAGTTCTAGTTCAGAATCTGGATCACCATCAATTAGCATAAATCAGAGCCATTCTGGTCCAGTTTTCAGTAGGTTATCTAGGCGGCGTAGCAGACCTTGGGTTTTGGAAGATCATGGAATGGCGAGGTAGGTAGGGAAGAGAATTTGATGAAATGGTGAATTGATGAATTTTCTTTCACTGTGTAAATAGTTTGCCAATTGGATACTAGTTTTCAGGATTATGAAGAAAATTGTTTAGTATGTTTTTCATGAAATGGAAATTCATCATGGCAGCTGCTGGAAAAGGGATTTGCTTTGAAGATTGTAGAAGAAAATTACAGTTCCATTTTAGTTAGGGAAATGGGCTTTTGGAATTGGAATGGTTTTCAAAAGCACGAAGCTGTCTTTTTTTTTTCTTTAGTTAGGGAAATGGGCTTTTGGAATTGGAATGGTTTTCAAAAGCACGAAGCTGTCTTTTTTTTTTCTTTTCTTTTTTTTTTTTTGTTGGTCATATTTGTCAGAAATATTTGGCAGAAGCATTTGTGAATTCCTAGTAATTCTATTTGTTAAATTGATTTGTTGTCAGAAATTTTATATGAACTTGAATTCATTAGTGAAGCTTGTTGGGTGATCTTCCTCCCTGTTCCTATTTCTGAACTTCCCTAACCACAAGATTGAAGTGGCGCCAGTAGAGCCAATTTTTTAACATGTTTAAAATGGTGTTACCCAAGATTTTAATTAAAAAATCATTTCAAAAAATCAACTCATCCTATTACTTTTTTTTATCATCGAAAGTTTAAAAATCAATTCTCAAACAAATCCTGAATCAATAAAGCGTGTGGCTTGTGTTTGGATCGTATTGTTGAGTCTGCAAGTCAACCACGAATCCTGTATTGATAATTTGAACTGTTCAATGTGTAGGGTTTGTCGACTATTTAATTCTTACAAAAAAATTTTGTTGATCGAATATCGATTGTTACCTGATCGGATCACATTTGATAGAAATGTGATCTGATCAAGTAATTATTGATATCCGATTAACGTAATTCTTTGTAGGAATGAAATACTTGATGAGCTCTACACATTAAACAGTTCAGATCATAAATGGGGGCTCTGTGGTGGGCTTACGGAGGCCTAACAATATGGTCTAGTTCGAAATCGGATTGGGGACAAGCCTTACCCATCAATAAACATAGGGATTGTTTTAGTATAAATTCTAAGAGGTGATTATTACTTATTTTAATGTGAGAGTCAATGCGAGATCATTTGATGTAATTTCTGCTTATAACTTAATCCACGTCTTAATTCTTGAATAAGATATAGAAGCAGCTTACAAGTGTATTAGTGAACGGGGTGAATGGAAGTAATGGTATGGAGGGCATATAAGATAGGAGTAATGATTCATCCCCCCTTTTCCCCCCACCCCCTTTGACCCCCTCTCTCTCTCATTGGTTACTTTTTTTTTTTCTTTTTCTTTTTCTTTAAATTCTAAGAGGTGATTACTACTTATTTTAATGTGAGAGTCAATGCGAGATCATTTGGTGCAATTTGTACTCGTAACTTAATCCACGTCTTAATTCTTGAATAAGATAGAGAAGCAGCTTACAAGTGTATTAGTGAACGGGGTGAATGGAAGTAATGGTATGGAGGGCATATAAGATAAGAGGCCATAGGGCGTCAAGGGAAATGAGCCGCTAGGTCAATGATCCCCCCCCCGTGTAATAAGAGGTGGACTCTGGAGAGCCTTTGAAGGGGTGAGTGAGGGGGGTACTACAAATAGTTTAAATAATTACACTAGAAATTTTTTATTATTGAGAAGGTTGGGAAATAAATATTTTTAGTTTTGGTTTTTTAATAATCAAATTTTAGCTTAAAAATCAAAGAAGGCCATCCAAGAGGATTACAAATCAGTATAGAAAATCAAAATTAATTATAATAAACATAATAGTCAGAGAGGATTACAAATCAATATAGAAAATCAAAAGTAATTATAAAGAGGCGGGTACAATTCTTTTTGTGAATTTTTCCAACATTGGCGTGTTTTTTTTTTTAGATTAGCACATGTTAGTTGTTAAATTAGCACTTATGAGAGAAAATTTCTCAATTTTCGACAAAGTTAATTCAACCCCTTTAAAAAAAATTGAACCTATGACCTCTTTAAAACTAAGCCCTAAGGAAGGCATTCATACTTTTGTGCGGTCTAATTGGTAGAGAGAACACCACTATTGAGAATAGGTGCGACATTAAAATGTTGTTTCTTTAGTTTGTGTTAATTTTATTTTTTTTTTGGATTCATTCAATGTAAAAGGATTTTTAAAAAAATTAACTTAAAAAATAGAATGAAAGAAAAAGTCCACTAATTGCTTCATTTTTTTAGTAATTTTTTTTTTTAAAGTTTTTTACTTTGCTCATTGGCCTAGTCAAGTAAAATTTAGAAGTATAAATTTTTCTAAAATTTCAAATAAATAAATAAAAAGAGAAAAAAAATCACTACGAAGGCGATTTCAACACTTGTCATGCCAAGAAAACAAATCAAATTGCCTTGTTATTGCTCCAAGAGAAGAAGTCCGAGGCCTTCTAGGTAGAATGTGGGAAAGTTTGCAATGCTTGCCAACCGTTGGGAAAGCGACCTACCTGCCTACCTACCTCCTCACGTACATGGAAAGAAATGACTTGAGTAGAAAGATAATTGAAAATGTTATGTAAATTAACAAAATTTACAAATTTTTTATAATAATAAAATTTGGATAAATTACAATAATATCTTTAAATTTTTTTTAAAAAAAACACAGTAAATTATATAATTTTGACATGATTACACTTTTTTTTTTATTAAGACCAAAGGATCACAATGTTTGGAAGTGGATTGACATTTTAGCTTTTTGACTTTTTTAGTTTGGGGTTAAAAAATCTTGTTTGGAAAGAATTTTTTGACTTTTAGTGAGCGAAAAAATGTAATGATTATGGTTATTTTGTCTTATTGGGTTAAAAAGCATATTTTGTCTTTTTATAGCTAAAATAGTCCTAAACCCAACCCATCTTCCCAAATAGAGAGTATAAAAAAATATAAGTAGTGTTTGGTTTAGTTTTAGAATCATAATTTGAGAATGAAATTATATTTTGAGTTTGTAAGTTATTGAATCATGATTTGAGAGGAGAATTTTTTTAAATTTTTTAAAAAGAATTTTGAATTTTTGAAAGGGAATGACTTCTGTCCAGTCCTTAATCGGACTGGACCGTACTGTTGGGCCCGTGGAGGCCCATCACGGGTCCCGTTTTGATAATCTGAACCGTTAAATGTGTAGAATTCGCCGAGTACTATATGCCTATAAAAAATCACGTTGATCGGATATCGATAGGCATGTGATCAAAACAGATTTTTGTCAACCGTTAATTTATTCACCGTCCATTTTTTTTATACAAAACTGATTTGATCATATAGTTATCGATATCCGATTAACGTGATTTTTTTCAGGCATATAGTACTCGACGAGTTCTACATATTGAACGGTTTAGATTATCAAAACGGGACCCGTGGTGGGCCGTCACGGGCCCAACAGCACGGTCTAGTCCGATTAAGGAGTGGACAGAAGCCATGCCCTTTTTGAAATGAGTTTTGAAATAAGAAAAAGTTGTTTGATTATGAGTTTTGAAAAGAGTTTTTAAAACTTAATTTAAAAACTTATAACTCATAACCAAACTCACAACTCAAAATTTTATTAAAAATTCTATTCAAAACTCATAACTAACCTCTTTTTAAAATTCAATTCAAAAAAATAATTATTGAAAAAATAAATTTTTTATTTAAAAAGTTCAAAAAAATTCCAAAAATATTTTTTATTTAAAATATTAAAAAATATATATTATTTTTTGTTAAAAAAAATATTCAGCTAGTACTTTAAAATTACTTTTGATTGTCTATTTGATTGGAATCTTTTTTTTAATTTTGTTAAAAAAAATTCAACTAGTACTTTAAAATTACTTTTGATTGTATATTTGATTTGAATCTTTTTTTTAATTGTTTTGTTTAAAAATGTTTGTTTATTTTTTAAAAAGGGCAAATTACAAACACCCCTCGAGGTTTGGTAAAAATACAGATTCCCCCTAAGGTTTGAAAAATTACAAATTACCCCCTGAAGGTCAAATTTTCATAACAAATTAGGAGAAATTAGGGGGAAATCTGTATGAAAATAAAAACCTCAGAGGGCAATTTGTTATGAAAATAAAAATCTCAGGGGGCAGGATGTAATTTCTCAAACCTCAGAGAAAAATCTGTATTTTCACCAAACCTCGAGGGGTGTTTGTAATTTGCCCTTTTAAAAATTACTGTGACAAATTAATTTTTATTTTGTTAATTTTAAATAAATGGCCAAATAATTTGTCATTTTAGTTAAAAAAAATAATTTCTATGTTTTAAATATATCAAAAAAAAATATAAATTATTTTTTTCAAATAAAAGTTGGCAATTGTTAAAAAAAAAAAAAAACAGTGTCAACTAGTCAGACATCCGGGCGAACGACCCGATTGACCTAATTTCAAAATTCAAAATTCAAAAATTTACTCTGCCAAACATGTTCTAAAAAACGTGGGTGTGAAATCAATTTTTAAAAACTATATCCAAACACAACACTAAAATAAGAGAGCGGAATTATGATTCCATCCCTAAACCAAACATAGCCATAATAATATCATTCTTTTATTTATATGACAAATAAATTTCGAATAAAAAAATGGATGAAGTGTTATTTGAATTAAAGTCTTAAGATCATATTTGTTATCTGAATTAGATTAAATAGAATTATGACATTTATTATTTTCAATGATAAATAGTGAAATTCAATTAATAGGGAGATGGAACCACACACATCATGTTTGTTTTGAAAAACTACAATAAAATTAAGAGTTCCATGTACTATGAAAGCGCTCCAATGAGAAGGACTAGCAATCACATTGGGCACATTGGTTTGTTAATTCAATCATATGGGAGATGAAAAGCCTTATTGTCTCTTAATATTACAAAAATAATAAAGTCACTTTTATATAATGAAAATTTTTATATAATTTTATAAATTCAATCTCAATCATTTAATATTACCGTACTAATGCACAAGCAAACATAATTTATCTTATATCTCTAACATAATATCACTATATTAATAATCTTCTTATTCAATCTCACCGTACTAATAATTTCATCCAATCTAGCCCGACAAACAAATGAGGCTCATGGATAGTGGGATTGAGTAAGAGGATTACTACTGTGATGGCATTAGGTTGGAAATATAGGATAAGTTGTGTTTATTTGTGCATTAGTGTAGTGATGATACTGGGTCTCCAGATTGAACGGGTCGAACTGATTCACGCTTCTCAAACCGTTTCCCGAGCGTCATACCCA